TGTTATCTTTTGGAATTGCATGGTTCACATTTTGTATCACCTTTCAGCTGTCTGTAAGGTTGTTAATTCTCTCTGCTGATTTTTGTGGCTTTATGGAAAGAGCAGCCTTTTCCAAGTACTCCTACACTATAATGTGTGTTTTTGGGGTTTGTGTCCTCAACTTGTCTAGTAGGCTAAATGTAACCAGATTAAATGAAGAAGAATGACTGAAAGCCTCCTCAAAAAATACTTTTGACTAGTGTTAACTGCAGGGTAGATGGGAAATGAATCCATTGTCACTAGTCCTCAGTTTATGGGGAGGAATTCCTTTAGGGATAAAGTAGCAGCTTGGGGCCCTGGAGGGCATATGAGGTAGGTGAAAAGGAGGAGAAGGAAATTAATAATTATTTCCTGGACAGCAAGGAAAAATTCCTTCCCTATGACCTAACCATGGTTGTGTATTGGCAAGAAACAGCTTATGTTTGAAATGTTTGTATTAAAGGGCTCATTTCTGTAATCTCTATGCCCCAATTTCTCTGGAAGCAGAAAGCCTGGAGAAACAAAATTTGATTTTGGGGAAGCAGAGTTGCCTCCTTCAGAACACCTGCCAGTAAGCTAAGATCTCAGAAGAAAAGCAATATTTGTTTATTATAATGTCTTCATTTAATTGCTACTTCAGGACTAATGTGTCTACACACTGAGTGTGTGATATGGAGACTGCTGGGTTTTTCATGTGTGATTTATATAGATGTTTTAGATCCATGTTGAGTTTTCCTCTGGAATCCCAGGTTTTCTACATTTAAAACCAGCTTGAATTCAAAATGACCTATGTTGAATGTGTTTTTAATGAGGTAAATTGGAGGAAGAGAAAGTCACACAGAATCAAGGAGCACAAGTTCCACATTCTCAGCCAGTGACTTTCAGCTCTTAACTTTAGTTGTCTCTTGCCAAGACTGCAACTAATTGAGGAGAGAATGAAATACTGCAGCAATCTTCAATCCTAATGAATGTTGCAATAATTTAATATGAAAGAATTTAAATCTTTAGTTGTTTTCTTCTGTGTGGTACTGGGGTAGAAGCTGTGGTAGCAAAGCAAGGTATTCACCTGCTGTGTACTCACAGAAAATAAGGAGAATATACCTTTGCACAAAACAACACAGAGCTGGATAATTTCCTTCAAATTCTTTTAGGCATAATTGCTATTTATTTCTGCTAATGTAATATTACATCCTTATTTTCCTTAAAATCTACATCATTTTATGGATATGTGAGAAAATGTGGAGCTATTTTACAGCTATCAGCAAGTGTCCTTAAGGACAAAGCCACAGCAATGTAATGAGGTCCATAAGCACCTGTAAGCACTGATGAACAGTGTCCAGGAAGATTCTTTCTGCAGTTCTGCTCTGGCCCTGCTTCTTCACTCCTCCCTCAGAGCGATCCTTTTACTGTAACACCTCTAAAACTTGTTAGAGGTGGTAAAAATGTTCTTTGTTAAGTGAATCCTCAAGTTAAGCCGCTCTTCAAATCGCTTACACAGTGTGAATTTGCTGGACAGCCAAGTCGTGACTGTGAGACCTGGTGCTAAATATAGAGGGAGTGCTGGGGAGAAAACTCTGCTTTTTTGGGATTCTATGGACAGTGCACACCATGGGATGGGCACAGCCTGTCCTGTGGTCCCAGGAGCTGCTCTGCCTGCAGTAATTTCAGGTGATAATGATGTAGGTAAATTATTCTGTCAGGGACAGGACAGTCATCCAGGATGGGCCTGCATTGTCAAGTAGGTAAATTTACCCATTTTATTCACCACCTTTGTCTAAAGGAGATGCTTTTTGAATCTATTGGCACTAATGTGGTTTCCTTCATGTACCTGGACACACAGGGGAACGTAACATCCTGAACTGCATCTGATTTGGATTATTTTTAACTTATGTATTGCCTCAAGGTTCCTTGTAGCTGCTCCCCATGTCTGCTAAGCAGATGCTGCTTCACTTACAAACTGCTGCATCTTGGAGTCCAATCATTCCTTTTTATGTGTGGAAACTCCTATCTTGACACTCCCATCTTAACAACTGCCCCCCAAAAAACCCCAGGTGGAAAATACATTAATAAAGGAGATAAAGGAAATGAATAGGAATTAAATTAAAAGGAAAATACATTAATTAAAGGCCTTAATTGTATATTGTTGTAGAAAATACTAGTTTATGTTTTATATCTATATATATATAAAAGAGAGAAGAGAACGTGACTTATTTTTCTTTGTTTGCTGCCAGCCAGGTCCTGATTGTTTACCTAGATACTTTTCATTCCATTTGGTTATCTAACACATAACATCTTTAAAACAATCTGAATTTTCCTTCATTGGAGGGTTTTGTTCATATTACCCAAAACAGCTGTGGCTCCTAACAGAGTGGAGATCTGAATGGAGAGGAAGGATGCAATCCACAGGTAACCCCTTTCATGCTGCTCCCAATGCTTATTTAGTTCCCAGGAATTTGGAGTAAAAGACTTACAGGACCAGGGTCTGGTCCACAGATTGTTGAGGGGCTTCATCAGGATGTGAGAAGAATGCTGCCCTTTTATGTGCAAAAATCTAAGGTGCACTTCTATAGTGTTTAGCAGAAAACCTTTATTATCTGTCCCATTAGCCCTGAGGGTGACTGGGAACATGACCTGGTCCTTAAACAGACATAAATGGGATTACATAGACACAAGTCACACTCCATATAAGAACAAATCATCAAAAAGCACTGGCATTTAAATCCCCTCCCTAGCTTGCAAAAGTCTTCATCTTTTAAAGGAAATTTAAAAGGAATTTCCTTTAAAAGGAAATTGAAATTAAAAGCAGCAGTTTGGGCCACCAAGAGAGTAATGTGAGGAGACAAGGAGGCTCAAGGAAAGCACGGAGAAACAAGGTAGAGACAAATTTGATACTGAGAAAAATTGCATTAGCAAAAAGTAATTATAGGAAAGGCTGACTGAGTGACAGTGATATTACCTTGGTTTGGCTCTGGCTGTGCTTGCAGAGATGTTGATAGCAAAGGAGGCAGAGCTGTTTCAGCTCCTAATTCTAACAAGTAGTTTTGGAAAGTTGTGTAGGCTTGAAGGTGTTTTGGTGTCCAAAATAACATGAAGTTTCATCCGAGCAAATTTATAAGCTTGATATATGGCTTTATCCAAGATAATTTATAAGCAAATTTATTAATTTCTTTTGAGTAAATTAAATTAATGCTTAGCAACTAATCAAGGATTTTGGAAGACATTGCAATGTATAAGTGAGAGATGGACCTTGCTGCCAGTGTTCAAATTTTGAGGTTTTTCTGTTGTTTTGGTTTTATGTTTGTTTGGTTTTGTGTGATTTTGTGGTAAATGCTAACTCAGTGTACTGGTTTTGGCTAGGGTAGAGCTATTTTTGTTTATGGCAGCTAGCATGGGCTGTGCTTTGAATTTGTGCTGGAGAAGGCAGATGTGGAAGCATCAGTGGCTGTGCATGAGGTGTGCTGGAGCAGGTCCAACCCTAAGAGATTGCAGTTTGTGGGTAAGTGCAAGCTGGAGCAGGAAGGAAGGGAGCAATGTTAAACCATAAAACCTCACTAAAGGGATCAGGAGTGGACATGGTAGTGGGAATACCGTTCAATTGTTGTGATCTATGACTTGAGTTGTATGTTATGGGAGCTGCTGCAGCAGGAGGCACCAGAATCAGTGGAGGACAATCCTTGCAGCCGCAGCAGACACCAACCTGAGCTGCCTTTGGTGTCTGATAACCCCACAACACAGCACCCCTCATGTCCTGAGTGAGCACCATAGCAGATGGAGCACAAAATCATGGGCTCAATGGACTTGTTGGGCATTTTGGGGATGCTTGTGGTCTTTGATGGGCATTTTACAGACATTTCACATGGGTGCTCCATAGGCAAAGGGAATGTTATCTGCAAAATGTATCAAACAGTGAGAATGTAGATGGTGGGTAATAGTGATGTGTATGATGTAAATGGTTGGGGATAAGAAGTGGAGATTGTGCTGTTTGGGCTGAGGTGGAGTTGATTTCCTTCATAGTAGCTGATATGGGGCTGTGCTTTGGATTTGTGCTGGAAACAGTGCTGATAACAGAGGGATGATTTTATTATCACTGGACTGTGCTTACACAGAATCCAAGCTTCTCAACACCCCAGTGAGGACACTGGGGCTGCACAGGCAGCCAGGAAGGGACACAGCCAGGACAGCTGACCTCAGCTACCAAAGGTGTGTTCCAGACCACAGGGTGTCATATCAGCATACAAAACTGGGGGAAGAAGAAGGAAGTGAGAGGGACATTTGGAATGATGGCATTTGTCTTCTCCAGGCGCTGCTGGGTGTGATGTAGCCCCTCTTTCCTGCCTGCCCATGGGAAGTGATGAATGAATCCCCTGTTTTGCCTTGCTCGTGTGGGAGACTTTTGCCTCACCTATTCAACTGTTTTTATTTCAACCCACGAGTTTCCTCACTTTACTCTTCCAGTTCTCTCCCCCATCTCACTGAGGGGAAGTGTGTGAGTGGCTGTGTTGCAGGCTGGGGTTAAAGCATACATAGGCTTTTTTTAAAGCATAAAAAGCTTTGTTTTACAAGCAGTAAAACAAAGCTATTATCCCAAATGGGTTCCAGTTAATTTGCTTTTCTTGAAAATGAATGTAGCTCCATTAAAGAAAAATACCCCCCCCTTGTCTGTGTTTGTGCATCTGGTATTTAAAAAACAATGCCAAAGGAGTTTATTTATTATGCTGCCCAAAATGTCTGAGATGAGTACATTCCTGCTTATGAGCAAATGTTAATTATGTTTCAGGTTTTCCTGTGACAAAGATATAAAAAGTTTGATTTAGCCTTTTAAAAACCTCAGTGTCTGATGCCAGAAAATGCTGGTTAATTAACCTTCAGATTTCTGTGCTACATATGAGAATGCTTGGCTTATAAAATGATTCCATCATGTAAGAGCCTTAACTGCAGTGAACGACAAATTCAGAGGCTTGTTATGTCAGAAAGGAGGAGGAGGAACTTCTGTTTAGGTCTTGCCTTCAGAGGGAAAGGAAACACTGATAGTATCCCTGTAACCTTGCACTGATGAGCAGGCACCACATTGCTTTGGAAAGATTCATATTTGAGATCTGATGACTAAGTGGTGGTGGGCACAGCTGCTTTTAGAATCAGAGATAAAGGAAAGAAGGAAAACAAATCCAGAATTGCTATGAGAAAATCTTGCTGACATGTAATGCTGTCAGAGCATTTATAAAGAACAGAAACCCCATTCAGTGTCATTCAGGTACGTGCTATATTGAATGGAATATTTATTGTTGTAAATGTTGCCAAAGGTCTGCAATTGATAATCTCTGGATTTATGAACAATAGCCTCTGTGAGGGAAATTAGATAGGTAAATTATTGAGAGTGTTAATTTTGGTTCCAGTGTAAATCTGTTCTTAAAGTCTATCAGTTTATGCAGATTAAGTGATCTTCCAAGGGGCTTGGGGTTTTTAAATATTTGTGGGTACAGAGAAAATGATGGAAGTTTGCTATTTTTTAGGTCTTTGGTTTAAGAATCTTATTAGAATAGGATTGCTGCACTGAGAGCAGGAGGAGTATTTTGGTACATACATGGTGTTTTAAGGTTTTTGGGAAATTCCACAGATAAATGTACTAATAAAAGCTAAATGCCTCTTCCAAGCATCATAGCAATTGGTGTAACCTGATCCAAACTAAATTTGGGTTACTGGGGCTCTCTTGACTTGACTTTTGAAATTCCAAGTCTCTCACTGATAAATGCCTCAGGTTTTGTTTTTACAGTTCTGAAGTAGTTTTCCCATTGAAGTCAGTGATATAGATTTACACTCTTTTATTAAAATCTTCAGCTTTAAGAAGGATCTTCCTCATTAGACAATAAGATCCAAGTCTGTTTTTTAAGTTTGCTTTTGGTACCGCTAAAAGGTTTATTTAACAATAACTAAAGATTGGACAGCACATGTGTAAATCTTCATCAAAACCATCAGAGCCTTTGCCTGAATGCTCGTAAAAGACTTTGGCTAGCAATGGCAAGAATGATCTGGTCTTTAATCCTGGATGTTTTATAACCAAGGTTTTATTAGAGAAAATAAATTACAGCCTGGAGGGAGGATGGGATAAACAGCAAATTGTGCAGTTCATACCTTGGAATGGTTGGTAAATGTGCTATTTCTTTCTGGGAAAGGGTTCAGCCTTGTCATACAGAGAATGATGCACAATGACAATTTGTGTGTAGAGGAAGTTTTGATATGATTATGGGTGGCATGAGAAACTGCTTTTGGACATAAAGTCATTTACCATTTGCTTCTGATGTGCTCAGTGTTACCAGCAATGCGTTTCCTCATCCATATCCTTGAAATTCCTTGCTCATCTGTTGTCCCCACGAGAGGGGGAGTTCTAAGACTGGTGCTTTTACTGAAACAACAAATACATGCTGTATTTCTGATTTCAAGCTTGAAAACTTTTATTTGATATTTGAGAACTTCATTAAAATTCTTCTTTCTGTTTGTGAGCAAAGTTCAAGCACTTCTCTGTGGCTGTCCTCCGTTTTGCTTTCCTTTCTGAACTTTCCTGTTCCTTTTAAACTAAGATGTATCTTGCATTTTGCAGACACAGTGACTGTAACACAGCATCAGTGGAAGACAGCTCTAGTGTCTTCCCAGTCAGGCTGGTAACTCTGTGTGTGAGTGAACAGCTCAGCTTCCCCAGGCTTTCAAAGGAGAAATAACAATAAAAATTTTGGACCTGAAGGGATGGAGCAAATCTGATCCTTCTTTGCAGTTTATCTCATCAGTACTGTAAATGAGAACCAGTATGGAGCTTCAAGTATTGCTGGAGAAAGTGGAAACACAGAAACTATTTTATATCCTTAAGAATTTTTTGGCTGATTACCTGAAAAACTTTAAATATCACAGGAAGAAAATGCTCATAGTTTTAGAGGTGTTCTTAAAATGTTGCAACTGCAGAATTGTCTTCAAGAAGTCAGTTAATGTGAGTGTCTGTAATGATGCTCTGATCACGAATGGGTTAAAATATATTAATTAAAACAACTATAAATCCAGTTAGTATATGATCTCTTTAAATGCTCTTAGTTTTAGTTCTGGTTCTTGAATATTGGCTTAGAGGTAAAAGTAGCAAAGAGCTTACAGTGATAAGGGATGGTGATCCAGGGGGCTGACCAGATTTTATATCCATTATTTTACTGTGCTCCTATTCAGCTATCTGCAGCATGCTTTTGCTAGCAGCAAGAAATATTCACACAAAAGAGTTTGCTGGTCCATTCCTTGAGAGGCAGGACATAAGCTCAGCAGGCAGAAATTCCAGAAAAATGTCTCAGATTTCATTTTAATAAGACTAGGAGGGCATTACAATTTTGTCTTAATTAATTATGTTAGACAAATGTCCATCTGTGAGAGTCATCAACAGAATTCCAACTGACTCAGCTGAGACAGGATTTTACTCCCAATAAAAGGCAGGTTTTCATGTCTGGGTTAATGATGAGACAAATCTAGAACAGCTTGCTTTGTTTAAGGGACTAAAACATATGCACAAACTTTTGTTACCTGTGGATGGTGCTAAACAAATCAGACCTGGGATTTCATGCAGCTTTACAAGAATGTTTTACAGCTTGAAAGGCAGGAATAAGCAATGCCTTGGTTTCTGTGCTCTTTCAGTGATTCAGTGATGGTGGAGAAAAAGGAAAGGCATGATGACTCATTTATGAGGTGCTTTTAAGTATTTTAAGTCATCAAAAATCAGGTATCAAAAAACTGCATTGAAAAAACTTTATTTTAAAGAAGTTAGAATAAAATTGCAGAGGCAAAGATATTTAATCTTGAATTTGCTGTTAATGTGAAAATGCACAACAAAATTAATACAATTGGAATAGTCTTTTACAGGAATTCCAGTAAGAAATCAATTTACTATAGCTAAAAACCAGATAAGCATCCAGAGGAATTCTGCATTTTGTACATATTCAGACATAGATTTCATTTCTATACCATGGTAGAAAAGGTTGCTTATTCAAGTTTTATGAGTAAAAAGACAAAAGTTTGACACTTTTTATGTACTCTTTGGCTACCTAAATTAATCCTATAGCATGAATCATTTGCATTGGGAAGATGCTGTCTGGAAAAAAAAAACCAATGTAAATAACACCATTTTATTTGGGGGGAGGAGAAAGTAGAATAAGACATATTGCAAATTGGTCTGACAGGAAAAAGGTCCACTGCTTTTTCTTCACTCTTTAGGTCACTGAGATCTGAAATGATTATTCCCTGACAACATTTCTGCAAGGAAGGTTTTCTTTTGCCAAAGATTGCTCTGGTTATCACCATTGCTCCTGAGCCTCACAAAGCAGGAGGTTATTTGAGGAGCCTGAGGCATGGCATGCTCAAGGGAAAGCTTAGCCAGGAGCAATGAATCCTGCTTTTCTGACATCCATGCCAACCAGAACCTCCCACCCTGGGTTTGGAGCTCTGGCAGGTCACATCTGCCAGGATGCTGGACCATGGACTGCAGAAATGGATGAATTCCTATAATTTGGGGATGTGTCCCACCCAACATCAGACTTGTTGCCTGTAGATTGCCAGGGGTCAGGTTTTAAGGGGCATAAGGACTTTTCTGTGCATTGGCAAAAGGACTTTTAATCTTTTCACTGGTCTTTATGCCCAGTGAAGAACAGCTGCTCCCAGGGAAAGTCTCATCTTTGCTTTCATTAACAATGAGATAGTGTCTCCCCTGAGAGTGTAGGAATTTTCAATTCCTGCTCTAACCCTATTGCCTGATTTACTTGTTTTTCTTCACATATTGACTTTTTAGCCACCATCTCTTTCCTCTCAAATTTCTGCCTGGCATGAGTGCATTGCTGCAGGCTCTGCTCTCTTCATGCTGCTGTATATCCTCACAGACCTCAGTGGGGAAAATGCTGTGGGAAAAGGGAATGAACGAGGTGGAATTTTCAGTCCCTAATTTATTTTCCATACAAGAACTGTTGATTTGTTGTAAGAGTAAATAGAAGGAACTTGACTTGAGTCAAAAAATCTCAGCCCCTGTGCCAGCTCATGTCTATACCCTGATAATAACAGAGACAATTATTCAGAAACCCTCCAAGCTGTGTTGAAGTTCGACTGGGCAAAATGAGGAATTTTATCCATGTGCTTTTTCTCTTGTTGAGGGCAGAGGGTTGAGCATGGCACTCTGCTCCTCAGCAGACTGGAGTGATGGAACATCTTTGGAGATGTGGGCAGTGGGATTCAGGTGTTGGTCACTGAGTTTGCTGAGGGCACCAAGCTCTGGTGCAGTCTCTGCCCTGCCCTTGTGGAAACCCACCTGGAGTGCTGCATCCACCTCTGGGACCCTCGACACAAGGAAGACAAAGAAAATAAGATTCAGTGAGTCCAGAGGAGGCCATGAAATTCACCAGAGGGCTGGAGCACATCTCATACGAGCACAGGCTGAGAGAGCTGGGGTTGTTCAGACTGAAGAAAGTTCTGGTACTTCCAGAGCCTAAAGGGGCTCCAGGAGAGCTGAAAAGGGACTTTTTACCAGGATGTGTAGTGATAGAACAAGACAGAATGGCTTCAAACTCAGAGAGGAGGTTTAGGTTGGATATTAGGAAGAAATTTACTGTGAGGGTGGTGAGGCACTGGCACAGGTTTCCCAGAGAGACTGTGGATGTTCCATCTCTAGGAGTGTTCAAAGCCAGGTTGGATTGAGTTCTGAGCAGCCTGGTCTCATGGAATGTGTCCCTGCCCATGGCTGGGGGATTGAAATTAGGTGATCTTCAAGGTCCCTTCCAACCCAAACCATTCATGGATTCAGTTATAATTCTATGAATACACTTTTTGCAAATGACCAGAAAGAAATGGAGTGGAGGAAGGCATGTGCACATTTGTTCTAGGACACTTTCATTAAGAGGGAAGTGTTGATTGAAGGAATTAATTCCTCCTGGATCCAAGGAACAGGTGTATTCCATGCTGTTGGGACAGAACTATGGTGTGGCAATGAAAACAAGAACAATTTTTTTAGAATTAGCTTCCCTAGTTGGTATGTGCTGAGAGACCCAAGTGTGCTTCAGAGATGCTGGATGCAGATACACATCCCAGATCCATGAAAATCTAAATCCCCATGCTCCTCTTCCCTGCCCTTTCTTAAAGCATCAGATGCTTTATTTTTAAATAATGAATTTCTTACTGGAAAAGGGTGCTGTTCTTTGTACTGGCTCCTGCCATGACACTGCTGCAGATTGAAGCATTACAACAAAA